GCACTGGTAGTTTTCTGTGGAGAATTATGCAATACATATGAGGTGCTCCGAGCTTTATCTACCAATAAGTTGCGTGCTCGGTTCTCGTGACTACACTGTGAGTTCTACCCATCTTGCGTTGCAAACGATTTTAAAAAAGCTTAAAATCAAGATTGATAATTTCCATAATCCCTTTACATTAGTAGTTTATTATTATATGTCACCTTACATGGTTGTACTGATCGTGTAACTATCCTAACGGTTGGATTGAAAACTACAGTAATTAATGAGACCATCAACGGCGTGTGATCTCACCGCATTCAAGTTCGTCCGATCCATCAATGCAGTCAATGTTGCCATCACATCTGAATAATTCTTCGATGCATGGACTACCAGATATCGAGTTACCTCTTCGGCACTGAAATGCGCTGACAGGGCATTGCTGATAACCTGCTAACTGTAACAGGACACGATATTGAACAGGACAGTATACAGGTCTCTTCTAACGATCGATCGAGCGCTGCAATTGTACACTAGTGCTGGCTTCTCTTCCTCTCGCATCCGTGTCCAAAGGCATGACACGTGTAATAGACTAGACATACCGTTATAATAATGAAGTTTCTGTTCTATAGACAGGTGATACACATATCACTCCTCCATTTACAGTAATTGCAAATATGAGCGTTGGTCTGCTATACTGCAGTAAACGCACCAAACTAACACGCATCAAACTAACACGCAATTGGTAAGCTATAAGCACTGCGCACTAAAAACCTGTAATAAATGTTTGATTTTATGCAAAGTGCATTTAGACATGTATTGTTTATAAAAACGAAATTGGCAGTAGTATGTTTATGATGACAATGTTGATGACAATATCAGAATGATAATGTTTGGTGTCCCCGGCCGTGAATTTACCTGGGTAAGGTTATGTTTATCTTGAAGATAAGTGTCAATATAACACACCGTATCGCAGTGTAACACATCATAAATCTGATGAATGCTCGTGAATTAAAATATTCTTTTAGTTACAGCTTTTTTTTTAAATGGCCTGTAATGTTACGATTTAACATCGAAATGCTACGAACGATATTAATTAACAAGAACAAAATCTCATAAAATAATCACAACAATAAGATAAGTAAACGGAAACAATGTGGCTATATTAGGCTTGTCAACGAATTTGCACTACTGCAGTAACGGATAAAACAAATATTATCAAGAGCCCATAATAGAAATTTTTCTTGTTATGGACTCTTGATATTATGCACCTATTATGTGCAACAATATAATAAAAATGGTAGAGCAACATTATAATAACAATACAGTAAATGTTATACAAATATATATAATAAAAAAGTAGATAATTGTGAATAATTGAAATTACGGTATCACTTCATGCATCAAATAGCTCTACCCAGAGTCTCTGTGTATAGATATTGTATAAACATTAAACGAAACAGAAAATCATGTTCTTTATTCGTTTAATGTCGCACTACTAATCCATCCCTAAATTCCACTGCTAAATCACACGTTTTAATCACTAGACTAAAAAGTTAGCTGTCGCTGTTCTCCGGCTAATAAGTAATTAGCATTAGGCAGTATAAAATAAGCATATATACATATAGTATAAGAGGATGTTGTGTTGTTTTGAATGACGCAAACCTGTAGTGGATGGATGGATTCTCCTTGATGAAGTTGGAACTGCTCTGGTGTGCCACCTTGGTTTTGCTCCGTACCAATATGGCCAATATCTACCGCAAGCAGAAAACGTCTTAAATTTCCTAATACTCATTCGAATTTACGAGCTACTAGTTGTTAAATTAAAAATGGAAAGACGATGGGAGAAGACATGCGCATAGGTCGAATTAATGACAAATCAAGGATTGGTTGCTTTTAATAAATGCAGAAACGTAACAACACCTGAATTCACATATTAATCAACATGCCGTGTAGATGCTTATCCGTTATTAGATATACGAATTTTGTCAGTCCACTAATAAGTAGAAATCTCGTATGTCGGTGATCTGCCTGAACCGAAACCGCATGCATGTCATGTTAGATATTAGCAGTTACATAAGAACAGGTTAGTTCGTTAATTCATAGTGTAACACCATATTATCAAAACACAATATGTCACAACACGACACATCACAGCACATCACAGCACAGCACATCGCGTCATATCACATCATAATTATCATAGCACAGTGCAGCACAGCACAGCACAGCACAACGCAGCACAGCACAGCACAGCACAGCACAGCACAGCACAGCACAGCACAGCACAGCACAGCACAGCACAGCACAGCACAGCACAGCACAGCGCAGCACAGCACAGCACATTATAGCGCAGCACAGAACATCACAGCGCATTGCCGCACGGCACGGCAGAGCATAACACAATACAACGCGGTACAACACGATATGAAACAACCCAACACAATTACATAACACAACACAACACAATTACATAACACAACACAACACAACACAACACAACACAACACAACACAACCCAACATAACACAGCACAGCACAACACAACACAACACACCACAACACAACACAACACAACACAACACAACACAACACAACACAACACAACACAACACAACACAACACAACACAACGCGACACAACATGTCTAACAGCGAATAAGAATATCAGAACTGCGCGTTAACAAAATGATGGCAAATCACGATATTAACGGAGATGCACACATACGCGACAGATAAACAGTCGGCCATAAAATACACGTTTCTTTTACTTTCACCAAGTATTCAAATGACTGCATAGACCTTGATCTAACTCTCTGTCGTGTTGTGGTCCTAAATGAGCTTGCCGACGATTGATGAAATGCATTTCTTCTGTTTCTTGGCCAATCTGATCATGCAGAATCGATGATGAAATCTCTTCTTGAAATCTTTTATTGGGTGCTCCCAGAATCACCGTAAAACAACCCATCAGTAGCACAACAGTTGAGAGCAGCTTCATCGGTCGCTGTTGTAATATTGGCAATTTGATCTGAATAACCGTAAATGATACGCACGTATAAACAGCCATTTTTTGCTCTACATAAGACACGTACGTGTCATGGTGCGTGCACGATACGAATCAAATTGCGTTCACGATACGTGTCATATGTCAGAGCAGACAGGCTTTCCTAACGTACGGGTACCCTATGATGACACTATTTTCAACGCTTAGATCTGTCTTATACGCTATAGAACATAAGCAAGTAAAATGGCCAAAGGCGATGTGGACAGTCACGCAGAGTACGCCTGTATTTTACCATTTGATAACGTAATACATAATGCTAAATTATTAAGTTTAGATCTCTGACTGGTACTCAGGGTTTGATTCCAAGGCTAGCTTATTTTCTTGTTGTTGTTTTTTAAAACAGTTTAATCAAAATAATTCAACCGCGGATAAATTATATGGCCCTTTTACCCAGACATGCGCCTTGTTACACATAATTTAACCGCGGATAAGTTATTTTTACTGCGGTAGAATTTAACTGCGGTAAAAACATTTCAACCGCGGTTAATTATGTGTAACAAGGCCTCTGATTGGGTAAAAGGTACCAGCGATAGCGTATCTTACGCAATACAACGCTGTCGTTGTTACATCTATTTACTTAGGTTTTAGGCTGGGTTAATATTAGTATAGGTTTAGAACTGAAGATTATGGTCGACCACTCTTAGACAGGGAAGATTATGTTGTACTTAATTTGTTTGTGTAATTTTGTTCTGAGGAAAAGGACGGACGAGCAGAACGGTCTCTTAGAGGCCATCTATCTTCACTGGCGAGTATATCGCTCAGCATTCCAGACGTTTATTTTCGTTGTAGCTGTACTTCTTGCTCTTTACTTCCTATATTTTAATTTGCACCAGCGTGCAAAGTGGTAAATTCACCAGCCCTGCGTTTGATGCTGTATGTTTTGTACTTCTATTTTAGAGTCTAACTACAGCATCTAAATTATCATCGATAGCGTAATTATGAGAAAACGAGATGAGCTTTTTATTCCAAACTTACATTTGAGAAGAAATTATATATTTTTTTTTTACAAATTTTGTGTAAAATGTTGCAGACTTAATATTATTTCAAAAACGTGCGAAACTAAAATGGATATATATCGATTGTTTGCATCGTTTTAATTTACGCATTATTCTCTGTACAACAGTGTCATGTGTATGTGATAATTAACTGATCCAACTATGCATATGTTTATACATAGGGCTACATCTTGTTAAAATGTTAAAAACATTTTCAATCTGTGATATTCGCGCGTGGGACCACGCGTGCTGATGGAAAATACCTCATATTCTATCAAGCATTTAATGCAACGTAGTAATAAAGCAATATATTATTTTAACAGGA